TGCGTCAGACCCAAGAAGAAGCTGGCTGGTGGGCTGTGCCCCTACCCCGCAAAGAAGCCATCTGGCAAGTTGAGTGGTCCCCTCTGTCCTGGACCAGCCATGTACAGAAGCCAGTGCGTGGGCTGCGCAGCCCCCACTGCCTTTGGCCAGCCCCAGGGAGACCCCAGGGAGGTGCTCCTGCACCCTGCTCTGAGCCCAACATCCCCTTCCTTGAGCTCCCCCACACCTCCAACCCCCTTGCCCTGGCTCCTGAACCCCACAGCCACCGGCCTGAGCCCCTCCTCACTCCCCAACCCTGACTGCTGCATCCCCCCACACTCCCAGCCCGCTAACCTGAAGCAATGTCAGGTAAGTCTTCTTGTAAATATATATGTAAATGTATAAGTATTTAATATCAATAGTGTTATAAATGCCCCCACTATTTATATAACACTTTAGACACAGGATCCCTTGCTCTAAAGAGTATTCAATCTAATTTTAATACAAAACACAAAATAATAATTCAACACACTGTGGTGTAAATATAGTGTTGGTGAGGTGATCAACAAAGAAAGACCAAAGTAATAAACAGGGTTTTAAGGAGGGATTTGAAGGAAGAGAAGTATATGCTTGCTAGGCTGCTCTGATCACAAAAACGATCAGGAAAGAAAGTCTGGAGATGAGGGTGGCAGGAAACAATGGGAGCAAAAAGAATGCATATAAAAGAGCCTAAGGAGGGGTGGTGTAGGATGAAATGTTATTATTGAGAAATCTGTCTGTACAAACTTATGGATTCTCGTTGCTAGTATGAAGTGTTACTATGAAAAGTGAATTTCTGTAAATTTCTTTAACAAGTGGTAAAATCCAGTTGGAAGGTGCTGTCTTTTGCTTTCTCAGTTGTCTGTTTGCCTCCATGTTGGGCTGAAATTGTAAAGACTGGGTCAAATGATTAACAAAGGGAGGTAGCTCATGTTACATGGAATATAAATAGCATCAAAATGAAATAGCTCTAAACAAGAGATTGTCTTCCAACTAGCTAAACTGGTTTAGCAGAGGAGAGGTGGCCCGATCAATCAATTCACCTGGAACAGGTTTGTGATCACCTGTTGAAGTTGGCAAGGTATAGGTCCTCTGATAGAAGGGCTAAAATGTGTAAAAAGAGAGGCAATGAGCTGTATGGGTTTTTAGCCATTTTCCTCCATCTCAAGAAGAGAGAGAAGCCACCCAATAAGTAGCAACCTGCATGAAACAGAAGAGCCTGCCTGCTTTTCTGAGACCATTTGGTCTCCCCAGAAATGAGTGAGCTAGTAAAAAGTATTGTGGTTAGGATGTGAATTGTTTTACAAATGATCTGTATAGTCACGTGCTTTACATAATTAAATAAAAAGAGAAAATGGCAGACAAAGAGTCTGTGCCCTGAAAGTAAGCCTAGTGACCCCAAGATTGGGACAATGGGTATCTTGTGAGAGACCAAGAGACAGCACTTAAATGGGATTTGTGACAGATGTACACAAAGATATAAGCCAGCCGAGGGGGAGCACAGACTTAATATTATTTTTCTCATCTTTTAAAGATTTGCACAAAAGAGCAGCATTTACCTTCTACTGTACTAAGGGTTTTAATGATGGCAGCTTTTTCATTATCATCATCCATTCTTATTATGATTAATACCTGATGTAAGACAAGTCAAATAAATTAACAGTACATAAAAAATAAATTCATCAGAAAGCAAAAATGTAATACTATAAACGTTTCCTAAAGTATAATTTGTGTGCTTACTACTAAGAAATATATTAGAAGAGCTGTGAAAGGAGATGCAGTATCATGAATAAATATATTCTAGGGAAAAAAATCTCACACCTGAGTATTAACACGCAGCAAGAAAATAAAAGGAACATTTAAACTGCCATTACAGAACTAAATTCCTACTGCAGCACCAGATAGATCATCATGGGGTAGAGACTTTCAGGCCAGTTTACAGGTACAAATCACATTGAAGATATTTGGGGTTTTGCTTATTTTACAACAATGTACCGGAGAGGGCTTTTATGGGCTCCTGAGAACTCCTTGTTAAAATCATGGGACTACCAAACTGAAAAGTTGTTTGGGAAGATTTTCTTGATTGTAATGAAACTTACTAAATAACTTATATGTGAGGCTCATAAAATACTACTGATGACCAAAGTCTTTTACTTTCAAATGGACCAGACTGCACCAAATGGCAGGTATTTTTAAAAGATTTGCCCATGGGAGGAGACATTCAACCCAACTCAAATGAAACAAAGCGAAATATGTGCAACACTATCAAGATACTCAATATAATTTTCAGGAATAAACTAAGAAGTTTTGACAAGTACACAACCAGTGGAAACATTATACATTCAACTCTACACAGGATTATCCCAGTAGAATAATACTTTTTTATAGGCACTGTCTGGGGTACGCTTTGTGGACCTACTGTTTAAGTGGTTGTATACTGCCTCCATTTTGGTGGACCCAAAATTTTTTACACCCCAAATTAGGGTATGTCAAAGAGTGTCTAGACTACAGCCAGTTCTGTCAACAAAGCAAGCTGCTTTTTCGACAGAGAGTCTAGATGCTGTCTTTTGAAAAAGCACAGTGTGAATGCAATAGTGCCTTTTGTCGACAAAACTCTGTCAACAATAGGCATTATTCCTTGTAGAATGAGGTTTACCGCTGTCAACAGAACTCGGCGGTAGTGTAGACACAGGTATAGTTTTGTCGACAAAAGTTCGCTTTTGTCGACAAAACCCTGTAGTCTAGACACACCCTTAAATGTGGGCGCAAGTAGTAGCATTTACATGTCCAACTTCATGGGAGGTCCTCTACGGTTGATTGCATCTCCCATTGGAAGGAGGAGAAGTTGAACCATGATGCCCATATTATGACCACAGAGGTAGCAGGGAACCTAGCAGCAAGGCCCACGTCATCAAAAACATCATGAAGAGTGGTGTGGGAGACTGTCTGGCCCTCTGCAATAACCACTTTGAATTGTTGTCTCTTTGCCTCAGGGATGTCAATAATAAAGTCATTGAACCTGGAATAATTTTTGTGATCATATTTGCTGAAGGCTGCATAGTTGGTTACTGTAAATTGCAGGATGTACGAGGGGTAAACTTTGAAGCTGAAGATGTCCAGCCTGTTTGAGGGGACTGATCCCCCCGGGGTCAATTTAGCAGGTCTAGTAAAATCACACTAAATCAACCACTCTCATGGATTCTGGTACTCTACCGAATTGAGAAGCGTAAAGGAAGTCAACAGGAGAGTTTCTCCCATCGATCCCACACAGTGGAGATGCTGCAGTAACTTGTTCTAAGGCTGTGGTCACCAACCGGGCCCCCCCTCCACCTCCCATTTTCCCCCCACTTCCGAGAAGCCCCACTATCTTTCTCCAGCATAGTACTGGCTTCCCACGGGGTGGATGGAAGTCTTGCCTGCAGTTTCGCGCCACTTCCGGGGGTTCTGGAAGTGCACTGGCTGCTCCCCTCCCACAGCTCTGTGGCATGTTGGGTACGCTGTGGGAGGGGGCGTTGGCCCTGGAGGAGGAGTGCGGTGGCTTCCCTACGCCACAGGAGGTGTAAGTTGAGTGTGGGGGTTGGCTCTGGGGCCCCCACTCTCCTGTCCCCAGCCACAGAACTCTGTCCCCACTCCCCTGTTCCCAGCTACAGAACTCTGCTCAGAAAGCTGTCCCCACTGGCACCCTGTCCCCTGAGGAATATATTCAAAATCTGCATTTCTTCTTCATGGCTTTCCACAATAGCTTTCATTATGTAACAACAACCCCTGTTCCCTCTCCCCACTCCTCTCTCCCCGTTCCCGCTCCCCTCTCCTCAGCCTCAGAAATCTGTCCCCAGCGGCACCCTGTCCCCAGCCTCAGAAAGCTGTCCCCACTGGCACCCTGTCCCCTGCCCTCCCAGAACCCTGTCCCCTCTCCCATCCCCAGCTGCAGAACTCTGTCCCCACTGGCACCCTGTCCCCTGCCGAAGCACTCACCAGCACCCTTCCGCAGTACTATGTCCCCTGATCCCACCAACACAGTTGGGGCCACATTAGTGAAGCTTGGGGGGGGGGGGGGGGGGGGGGTTTTTTTGCATCTCACTTGTGTGGCCCCAACTGCCTTTTCTTGGGTCAGTGATGGAGGAGGGTTTTTTGCATCTCACTTGTGTGGCCCCAACTGACTTTTCTGGGGGCCTGACTCAAAACAGGTTCCCTGCCCTTCTCAGAAATAAAGACAATACAGAAACTTTTTGTGTTTGACATAGTATTTTATTTAAAAATGAAGCCTGGCCAACAAACCCCCAATTGAGGCCAAACCCCCATGTGGCCACAGCGGGGTGGAGGAGGGTTTTTTGCATCTCACTTGTGTGGCCCCAACTGACTTTTCTGGGGGCCTGACTCAAAACAGGTTCCCTGCCCTTCTCAGAAATAAAGACAATACAGAAACTTTTTGTGTTTGACATAGTATTTTATTTAAAAATGAAGCCTGGCCAACAAACCCCCAATTGAGGCCAAACCCCCATGTGGCCACAGCATCATAACACTCCTGCACTCCCCTTTTCCCCAGACCCAACATCTGAGCCCATTATACACTGGAACCCGCTGCCCTGAGCCCCTCACATACCCCAACCCAAATTCCTAAACTCTCACATCCAAAGTCTGTGGCTTGCTTCGTACCCTAACCCTACATCTCACCCCAACACTGCTGGGCCTGAAGCCTCCTCCCCGAGACAGCGTTCCCTTATCCACCTCCTCCTGCATCCAGATTTCCTCCCAGAGCTTGCACCTCTCACCCCTTCCCACACCCAAATTCCTCATTCCCCTCCCAGAGCCTACACATCCTGTCTCAACCCAGCAAGGGTACGGCTAGACTGCAGGAGTTTTTCATGAGTCTGGAGATATCCCAGAAAAACTCTTCTGCATCCAGCGATGCAGTTGTTCTTCCCCTTCTTTTAGTGGAAGAGCAAACATGATATTTTGGTCACCCCATATTCCTCTTTCCATGAGGAATAAGGGGGCTTCCAAAAGAAGGGGTTTTTCTGACATTTGGTCCAGTCTAGACAGGCCAAATGTTGGAAAAACTTCTTCCTACAGAAGAATTAGGGAAAAAAGCAGCTGTATAAGGGTTGGGGATAGCGAGTGATGGAGAGGAGGAGAATAGAGAGGGCAGGGCTTCAAGGAAGGGGCTGGGCAGTAGATCTTGGTTTGTTCTATCATTTAAAAAGTGATCTTGGGTGTAAAAAGTTTGGAGACCACTGTTCTAAGGTATTCACATAGCTGGAGTTGTGTATCTTAGTTCAACACTACTTTCTGGTCTTACTGTCAGGGTCAGAGGGAGGAGAGCGGAAGTGCTGCTGTTTATATTACTGTGGCCCTGTTGAGTTTGATTTTCTGGAGGACTCTTGAGATAAGAGGTATGGGTGGAAATGCATACATGAGGGGTCCACTCCAGTCAAGGAGAAAGGCATCTCCTAAATAATTGCGACCGAGGCCCACTCTGGAACAATAAAGGTAACATTTCTTGTTGTCGTTGATGGCGAATAGCTCTATCAGAGGTGTACCACACCGGCGAAAAAGGGAATGGAGGACTCCGTGGTGGATCTCCCATGCGTAATGTAGCACAAAATTCCCGCTGAGGGAATCCGCCATCGTGTTGCTGATGCCAAGTAAATAAGATGCCACAAGGGTTGTGCCATTGGCAATGCACCAGTTCTACAGTCAGATTGCCTCCGTGTATGGAGATCGGGAGCATGCACCTCTCTGACGATTTATATAATACATAGTTGCTATGTTGTCCCTGAGAATGCTCACTGTACAGTTGAGGATGTGGGTGTGGAAATGTCTGCAAGTGTTGGTGACTGCTCTCGGCTCCAAGAGGTTTATGTGAAGGTCTCTTCGGGTTACCATCAGCCTTGGATGGAGAGTTTGCCCATGTGAGCACCCCACCCGATGAGGGAGGTATCTGTGGTAATATGGCAACAAGGTTGCAATCACTGAAATGGAGTCCCTGACAATAAGTTCCCGTCTTTGGTCCACCGGTGGAGAGAAGATCTGACTGTGGAAGAAATGAGCACCAATCTGTATACGTTGTGCTTCCTAGGATTGTAGATTGTAATCAGCCAGTGTTGCAATGGACGAAAGTGCAGTCTGGCAGGAGGGACGACGTATGTAGTGGAGGCCATGTGCCCCATAAGTTTGAGTACTGTGAGAACCTGTACTGAATGCTTGTAGAGGAGCTCATCCAATAGTTCTTGTATTGCCCAAAATCTGCTGATTTTGTAATGTTCTTGCAGCAATGGAGTCAAGGCAAGCTCCTATAAACTCTAGATTGAGTAGGTTGGAGTGTCGATTTGTCTTCATTGATGAGGAGACTTAAGAGAAGGAAAGTCTGGCCAGTAATACACAGCATTTCGGAAACTTGCGCTGACGAACGTCCTTTTATAAGGCAGTCATCTAGGTAGGGATATATTACTACTCTTCTGCGTCAAAGGTGTGCAGCTACTACTGAAATTGTTTTTGTGAACACTCTGGATGCTGTGGAGAGGCCAAGCAGTAGAACTCGATATTTAAAGTGTCCTGTACCAATTGTGAAGCGGAGAAATCTCCTGTGTGCAGGATGAATCGTAATGTGAAAATAAGAGTCTTTGAGGTCG